TTGGGCCTCTTCTCGAACAGGGGATTCACCACCTTCTTGGCCTCCTGCTTCTTGACCACGGCGGGCGCCGGGGCCACCTTCTTCCCCTTGGCCTTCTTTCCCTTCGGCTGCGCGGAGAAGCAGCCGGTTACCGGGGCTCCCCGTCCCCGCGATCGCCCGCCCCCGGCCCGTGCATCAGCGCTCTCGGTGGAAGCAGCGTCTCACGGGCCCTCTGACACGCGGTCATCACGGGCACGGCCGCGGTAGACTCGCGGCTGCGTGGATGTGATCAGACATCTCCTCGCCCACCCCCACGCCCCGAGCCCGGCGTGCCCCGAAAAGAGATCGGGCTCAGGGTCAGAGTCGGGGTCGCGGCCCGAGCCCCGCTCCCCGCCCGGAGCCCGCACTGCGGCCCCGCAAGCCGAACAGAAGTCATCGCGCCTGCATCCATCCCCCGGACGCCGGCAAAGGCGCATCCCGCCACGAGCCCACGCGCCGGGGCCTGCGGGGCTCCCTGGTAGTCAGAGGGGCCCTGTGGGAGCGCGCCCCGAGGAGGATGGCAGCGGATGGCGCCCGAGCCAGCGGAGCCAGCACAAGCGCGCAGTTACTCACCATCTTGAGCGAATAGGCAAAAGAGAAAAGAAAGAGGATTGTGGGTAATTTGTAGGCAAAAGAGAAGGGATTGTGGGTAATATGTAGGCAGCTTCGGATCTCGCGAGAACCGGCGCTTGCGCGGGATTTTAGATTTAAAGAGCCCGCACACCCCGTGCGCCGGGCACGCGTGCGGCGGCTGCGCGGAACCGGCCTAGGCGGCGCGGGTGAGTGCGACCTCGCGCGGTGGATCCTGCGCTGCGGGCGCGGCGTGGACGGGGCCCACGCGGGGCTTGTGTGCGGCTGCCAGCGGCCGCGAGCCCCGGCCCGGCCGCTGCCTGGACCCCGTGGGGCGCTGGCGTGCCGAGGGTCAAACGTGGGGGTGCGCGCCGAGGTCGGCAGTTCGAGCGCAGCAGCCGCTCTCCGTGGAGCGACACCCGTGCGGGCGGCAGCCCCGGGGCCCGAATCCCGCTGCTCGCGAGGGAACGCGTTAGCTCGGAGAAGCCGCGGGAGGGCTTTGTTGTTGACGATGGTGAACGGCAGCTCCGCCCCCGGCCCCCGGGATGGCCTTGCTGGCCGAGTGTCCGCGGGGGAGTGCAGGGCCCCCCCGGAGCCCTCCCGGGAGGAGCCTGTTAGGTTAGGTGGTTGTTGTTGTTGTTCTGTGCCGTCGAGTCGTTTGCGACTCATAGCGACCCTATGCACAACAGCCCTAAACCCTGCTCTGTCCTGTGCCAACCGCACTGCCTCTGACTCTCCCATCCCTAGGTTAAGTTAGTGGACTTAAGAAATCGGAGAGAACGAGAGAAAGCTTAATGCAGCTTTATTAAAAGGGGGTGGGGGTGGAAGGGGAGCTCCCGGGTGAGTTCTCGTCCTGGAGCGGCAGATGGGAAGTCACACTGTGAACTTACTGGGATTTTTATAAACAGAGTCTTTAGGGAGGGACATTCCACTCTGATTTAAGAGCCCCCTGCTAGCTTAGTCAGACAGGCAAGGCCGTTTTCTTATCTTCAACAGCAAGGCCATCAGCATTTGAGTTCTGAATTCTTCATTCTTCTCTTTGGCCCTCTTTGCCCAGACTAACATCTTAGACTCTTTTTAGTAATAAAACAGGGCGAGGTATCTTTCTTTGGGCTACTTCCTGCTGATCAGGGGCGA